CACTTTGTTTATGCATAGAGTTGAGGATTTGCATTTATATGTTTGTACAGAGAACTAAATTCCCTCTCAAACTAAGGTCACAGTCCTTGGAAAGCAGTGGTTCTTCCCAGACATACGCTCTGATGTGGCTTTTGAGTCCGGAGGTACCATCCAAGTTTTTGGTGGACTGTAATCTAATTTAATTGCTTAACCTAATTTAACTGATGGTGAGCTGTAGAATGGTGCAAAAATGAAAATAACTTCGTTTCCAAATTCTGTTAAGAAATGGCAATGCTCTAGCTGTAGTAAACAAGCCGAAGGCAAGAGTATGCTACATAAAATAACCTAATTACGATTAAGCCAATCAGAGCATTTTCCTCAGATGAATAGGCAGGCAGGGATTTGACAGGTACTCCGATTTAATTGTGTGGAAAACGTGTATGTGCAGCAAAGTGCTTAAGAAGCTTTATCTCATGGATCAGGTTCCCTGTTGTTACTGAGCAGCAGTGGAAGTCAGTTGGCTGTAAGAGGATATTTCTGTGCAGATCTTTCTCATCAGCTACAGCAAGGGCAAATTCCTGGCCCTGCTGAAGACCATGGGAGGTTTGATGTTGAGTGCCAGTGTAGTAGAACTCACCCTAAATGTCACTATTAGTACCCTGATGGCATCAGTGCGCAGAGGTGTGTTGGCAAGGTTTGCTCTACCTGGTGCTCCTGAGACAGTAATGAATTGAATGTTGCAAATATCCCCATCATTGAAGACAAGGTGTGATGTTTGCATGGCAGCTCCAGTTCACCCCGTGGAAGTGGTATTCAAGTCTAGAGATGGTCTCAGCCCTCTGAACTGTAGAAACTGGGAAGCTGTTGGGAGGGCAGGAGCAGTGTTTTGTCTTGGGCAGAGAGAAGGGCATGTCTGGACTCCAGGATGGCTTGGGGTTGGGTGAAAGTGGAACCTTAGCAATTACAAGCCGGAGGATTATGAAAGTAAGCTAGTACAAAACTTTATGATGTTAATTTCGTTTTCTTGAGCAGATTCCTTCTGTAAGCCTAGCAAATCCTGATGATGAGACAAATTTCTATTATCAGTGCCAACACAAAGGCACTAGAAACCGCAAGACAGAGGAATGCTGAGGCAGTCTAATGGAGCGTACAACTCTGCCTAAACTACTCGCATGTTTTGTTTTGTTCTTTTAATTCTTGAAAAGAATTAGAAAAGGATGGCAAATCCACCAGAAGAGAAACAAAACCACAGGGATCTTTGTCTGTGGATTAAGCACTTTCAAGAATGAATAAGAATAAATGCTTCCCTGTTTTCACTGTTCTGTATTCTAGGATAAAGAAACCTAAGTTACTTGCTGAGGTATTCTGATTTTCTTATTTGGACTTTGTGATTTTAGAGAGCATATTTCACGGGACTGTACATCCCAGTGGAAGAAATTAAGATCAGGTATGAGAGAAACACACCTAAGGGTCTGAAATACTTTGAGTTTCTCAAAGATGATCCCATGTGGGCATTTACACTTAAAAATGGGTGGAACTTCTCAGCCTGGAGTTGTATCGAATTACTCATAAAAAATCTCTGAGGTCTTTGTATGGACCAGGATATTTGGTCCAAATATTTGGGTATTTCTTACAGTTTTTTGAGAAAAGGACTGCAGCCTCACAAAGTGAAAACTAGTCCTGCTTTTCTCTGGATTTAAAAATAACTCTGTATCTTGGAAAGCTGTCTCAGCAGAAGTGAAGGAGTAAAAAAAAAAAAGTATATTACATCCCCATGGTTTCATGCAGTGCAGCTGTGCTAACAGTGTGTTGGGAAGGAAAGGCATGAAATAGTCCATGAAATAATCAGTGAATCTAATGGTAAAGCTTTATGCAGTGAAGAGACTGATGGCTCAAGTATCCTACTGCAAATAACCAAGGGAGAGGGAGAATGGTGCCATCATTTTCTAGGGGAAAATATCCAGAATGCAAATACATTCTAATTAAATCAGTGGGCATCTGATAGGAAGCCTACCATAAATTACAAAATCTTTAAATACTCATACAATATATTTGGATTAAATATGCATATTCAGATGGATTGAAAGTTTTATTTCTGGTTAAATATCTGTAGAATGGTAATCAGATCAGGGAAAACCATGCCTCTAGATGTCATTAAGAATTCAATTTTAAAAAATCATTCCGTATAGTCTATAAGTTGATGACTGGCTTTCAGTTGTTCTTGCTATATGTTTTTTAGACCTTTTAAATTTTTTCTATACTGTGTGATTATATTTTAAATTATTTGAAGAGATGTTGAGTCTACAAGTATTTATAGAGAGATATTTCACTCCTCCCATGCGCAGTATTCTAAAACTTCAATATAGTTCAAAACAGAGAAGCGAGCATGTGTCAACATACAATCTCCAACAGCCTTTCTTAGATCTTGAGGTACTCAGTAGTAGTACAGGAATAATGGAACATTATTGACCAAATGTAATGCACAGTTGCCACAACAGATTTATTCCCTATATGTCAACTCTAAAGAACAAGTGGTTAGTTTATAACCCTCCTTGGGTTTCAGCATTTTAACGTTTCTTCAGTGTTTATTTATTCTCCTCCCGAAGAATGTTCTGGAATATTGAGTTTACAACCTGTGGCTCATGTGATGGTAGTGGAAACAATTAAGCCAGAAGCTTTCAAAGCCAGCACTGGGATTTTGATGCCCAAAGTCGTTAATTTTAATAAGAAGTGAGCTGCTGTTCCTCTTAAGTGGTTTCTAAAATCTCAACCCATAAAAACACCTCTCCACCGATTCCAGTTTACTAGGAGTTCAGAGCAAGATAAACATGTGTAACAGAATAGTAGGTGTTAAATGGTGGAAAGTATGTGTTCAGATGTCTCTAAAAACATTCAAGGAGCAGAGTGGTGGCCCCAGGGTTTTACTGGCAGATCTAGTCTGATGTGGTGGCTGCTCCTGCCATCGTCATCTCAGGGGATTGCAGATGGGATCTCATTGCTGACTGATCAGAACGTGAGGTGGAGTTTTGTTGAAAACAAGTCAATGGAAAGAGAAATGTGGGCAGTAGATCAGTTTCAGCCATGATGTTCACACTGCTTGTCAACTTTGTTTTCTTGCATCTGCTCCATGCTGTTGCCTTCTTAAGATGTTTCTGCATGCCATAACCTTTATGTCTACTGTGACCTGGAGGATTTATCCACTGCAAATCTGTGAGAGCCTTTCCTTCTACACGACTCTGCAGATGACATTGCTTCAGCCATGGGTGGAGTGACTGTGATCTGTGTCTCTCAGTCTAAGAAGTTGTGAAAACTTCAGAGAGTTCCAAGATCTCTCTTGGAGAAAGAAAACTGCTGCAATGATGAAACCTCATGCTCAACATGAATCGTGGAAGAAAGTCTTACTAGGAAAAAATAGCCAGTACCAGCAGATCTTTCTGTAATGTAAAATAGAGCATGGGATGAGTATGAATGAGTTTGAAACTGATTCAAGAAAAGTCTAAATGCTTGGAGAAGGAAAGGAAAAAAAAAAAAAAGGAAAAAAACCCCACAAAATAGGGATTTTCTTGTCTTTTATTAATGAAAAGAATGTTCATTGGAGAATTTTAGAATTGATTTAAACAAGCATCTTTCTTTTCTGCATCTGTCATGTGATCTCTGAAAGATATCATTACTGTTGGCTACAGTGACAAAATTACTGCAGTGTTTGCCAGTGAGTCTCTCTCCCAGTAGCAGCAATTAATGCTCAGTAGCTGTTGGAAGGAGCTGTAGGTAAAATGTGATGCAGTAGACAATGATTCTGAGTGCTATTGTAATGGACTTCAAAAGCACATAAGAAAAAAAAAAAGGCTGCCATTAGTAGTAGATGTGACTTTTTTTGGAACTAAATGTTCCTTAAATTAAACATGTGGTTTCACTTGCGGTTCATTTTGTACATTGTCACCAATGAAGTTTAGGATTTCTTATTACTTTTTCTTAAAAATATCTTGCTGGTTTCACTCAGGAGGCAAAACTTTTCACGTGGCTTTAATCGTTTCTGTCATAAAAGCGATAGCATCCATGTAATAGAAATAGTTTTGCAGACCACAGCTTCATATTGGCTATTATTTCTCTTCCATTTTCTTTACCTACAACTCATTGGGCCATCCCAGAGACAGAAAAAGTTCCTCTTTCGCAATTAAGACCAAATGGAAACTTTTGCTGAAGTTAGAAAAAAAAATCACTTTGTGTCAGTACTGCTTTATTAGATTTTTGTCTCAGATATCTTGGCTCTCAAATGCAAGCTAACATGGCTGCATATCAAAGAAGAGAGTTTATACTGACTTTTTTTTTCTAAAATTAGTGAAATTCTAGAAGATGAAGTCAATAGAAGGCCTTTTGCTGCGCAGTTCAAGAGTGATGCAAGAGATGGTAGTATTTCAAACAGAAGTTAAGAGCTCTGGTAGTATAGCTTCATGGTGGTCCTAGAGAGGCCATTTACCTCCTTTTTTTTTGCTTCACTTCCCCAGTACACAGAAACTGCTAGAGTTTGGGTCTCACAAACCTTATCCCAGCAGCCTTTCTATTATACTGTGCTGTTGTCAACAGCCTGGGCTTCCCTGTCGCTAGCCCTAATTTGGATGAATAAGTGTAATTATTGTTGCAGTCAAAACAGTGATTTTTTTCCAACAAATGATGTCCAAAGTTGTAAAAAAAAAAAAAAAAAAAAAAAAAAGGGAACTATTGTTATCTTATTTGGGGCTTTTTGCATCTTTTAAGGTATTCGTTAATTAACAAGTTAAATATAAGCTAAATAAAATATAAGTTAAGAGTAGCTCTCCTCAGAGTTTTGCTATTTAGAGTTTACTTGATAGTTTTCTAGGAAACACCACTGCTGTGCTTCGTCACTGTTCCAGAGCAAAAGCCTCTCTCGTGGCACACCTTAGCAGCTAGCAGCACTCAACAAGAATAGTCCTTTGCTTTCACCTTTTCTTAGCATTATCTCTCAACTTACTTATCAAATACATATCAAATATGTTTTGCAGTTCAAGAATGACCAAGATGAGTCCTGCCTTACAAGGGTCCTCAGCAACAGCCCTGCCTGCTCTGCAGCTTTCTGAACAGGTCCCACTGACATCTCCTTCCCTGAAGCCTCTACAGATGGATGAAGAAGACAGCCTGTCTCCTCATCTCTTGTTACCAGACAGCATCAGCCAGCTGGAAGAGTTCGGCAGACAGAAGAAATGGCACAAGAAACAGCACAAACACCATCGCCAGAGGCAGTTCAATGACCTCTGGGTTCGGATAGAAGACAGGTGAGTCATAACTTTTATGATTCTTGCCCTCTTCCTGCTGCCCTTTACAGATTCCAGCTTTGTTGAGTCGACCATACAACAGGTTGGAGAAAAGCTAAATGGGAGAGATGAGGAGTAAGGCGTTGTTTTTGGAACATAAGGAGGAATTCAGAGGAAGGCTAATAGGAATATTTAATCTAAAAGTCAAGAGCAAAAGCTGATGGTTAGAATGCTTAAAATAAGAGAAAGTACGCTAAAAAAAAAAAAAAGAAAGAAAAATATTGTTTCCCCTTCTTATCCAGTAATAATTTTCCAATCTTTACTGTCAGTTTTCAGCCCAAAGACTGAGCCATCTTCCAAACTTTAAGATTCTGACATATCTAACTTACCTAACTTTCAATCTTCAATATTTTGATATTGAAAGTATTTAACACCTCCAACACCTCTGTTGTTGCCTTGGAAACAACAAAGTTAAGCATCCTGAGTCTAACCACACTGGGTGTGTATGTATCTGTCTGACTGTCTAACAACTTATCTATGTATAGCTTGTTAGAACCAACTTAGGGTATGTTGCATCTGAAAATCACAGTACATCCTTCAGAAGTATTCTGAATATTCAGAAGTATTCATTGCTGTATGTTTCTACACCTGGGAAACTGAGGAACAGGCAAAGTCATTCCCATTTTCACAACATCTAAATGCCTTGCATTCCAAACAAGTCAGAGTTTCTTACAAGTTTCTCCTTTTACCAATGAAAAAGGCTCTCTACATACTTCTGTTCTGTATTTTTTTTTTAATTATTTTGTTCATTCTTTTTAAAGGAGCAGTTGCCTTGCTTCTGTTGTGTTTTATTGTATTCTTTTCTTAGGATGAGTGATGTAAGTGTTGTTGTTACAGCAGAATATAATAATCTTACTGTGGTAGGATTATTCTGATGCTGATGCCAGCCTTGGTAAGGAGGATTGTATCCAAATTCATTTGTTTTTTTCTCAAAATTTGTTCAGTGTTGGATTCTCTCTGTGGAAGATGTTTTAGCATGAGGTAAAAAGCATCTGGTGCTATGTGTTTGGCTGCCCCAAAGACAAGGGGCTTCTCTGTTCATCTTCCACCCGAGGGATGCCAAATGTTGGTGTCCCAGCATTTCACGTGGGTGTCTGATCCAGCTCACTGCATGTGTAATATGAGTGAAGTCCTTAAACAGTAAAGTCTTATAAGAGTTTGGCAGTTAGCCGCGTTCCTTCTGCCCTCATCTTATCTATACAGAAAGGATATTGGATATTGGGCCTGATACTGCTATGGAAATGTGCAACTGGGGACTTCAAGCTGCAGTGCTTGCATGGCTTTGGCAGTCTTGTGTTCCTTTTGTTGTTTTTATTTCAGTATTAAATATTCCTAGAAAAAGTGTTTCAAAGGGTAGCTCTCCAGGCTAGAGTTAAATTATTCACTCTGCGCTGGTGAGAGATTTCATCTGAACTGAAACCTTTTATCCCTTTACTTCCATTTCAGAGGGATGGAGATTGGGATGAGGAAACACAGGTTTCCGTTCCCACCAAGCTGGTGATGAACCAGACACTGTGTGTCGCCTGCTTGCTGAAAGATCCCAGGGAGATGTTAGTGGGAGATTACAGTCCTAGAAGCAAGGAAGGGCTGGAGGAAGGGAAGTTTGCCTTAGTGCTTTCAGATGGCTTTAGTTCTTCTATACTTCTGGAGTAACTTCTGCTGTTTTCCTGGAAACAAAACAAAACAAAAACTACAAACTGTTCAGCTAAATCAGAGACTCAAAACCAGCCCTGGTTTCTTCATAAACTGGCTGGGATCTCAACTTTCATAAACTGCGTGCTGCATATTCTGCTTTTGGCAGTCGGGTTTCATCAGTTTTAATTGCAAGCTGGACCTTGCACAGGGCAGTAAACAGTGTGTTCTTTCTAACTGGTTTCTTTCTGATTGGCAAGGAAAGAGCAGAAATTTGTGCCTGTCCCTAGGCTTTGATGCATGATTGTTCTTGGGAAGAAACAGCTAGGGTGACTAATATGGGCAAATAAGTGTTATTTGTGCAGCAGAGAAACACATGGACTTGCATCATGTTACCACAGTAAAGTTCATCAGCACTGAAGGGTGAGGCTGTTAGCACTCATTTTGGGAGGAATCTGGTAGTACTGGAAGCTCATACTTGGACCTGACTTAAATTGGAGCACCGTTGTGTCTGTCTACAAAGCCACTCTGTGTGGACTGAGCTCTGTTCATGTAGTATTATGGCTTTCCACATGGTTCTTCTTCCTATTTGAGTTTCCTAACTCACCCGAAACTTTATTTTGAGACACAATAGGGAGATTTAGTTCATTGTTACTTTGAGGGGGAGTGAAAGCTGTGTAAAATTCATTGTTTCCATGAAAAGTCTCCAGAATTCATCTGTTTGAGTCATCTTTCAACCTGAAAAGCCAGAGAGAAATATACAGGTCAGGGACAAATCCAGGTGACTTTATGCCAGATTGCTGATTTTTGTATGTACCTCGTTGAACTGTGAAATGACTGTGGTTCATACAGCTTTTTTCCAAAGCTTTATTGACCATGGGTTAGAGGATTTGATGAGCCATGAATTGCAGGACTTTTATGGACTATGGATTTCTCAGTTATCTCATACACTCCTGTGGAAATCTTAAGGTGTTTTTTTAAGCTACCAGCACAGAAACAAAGGAAATGAACACAGGAGAACAATCTTAAAGCAACATCAAAGTTCTGACTCCAGCCTATAAAAGCCAGGAAATCCATAATTAATGGTTCCACTAAGACCTCATCTTACACGGTCTTTCTGGTCTGATCTGAGGTTATAGCTACAATCTGAAATGGCCTCGTGAAAAATGAGTCATCATTTAATGTCACACATCATTATTAGTATTTACTTTCAGTTATACCTTGGAGATTGTCCTTTCCTTTTTGTTCTGTCTTAGCAGCTGAGACATTCGAATTGGCAACCCTGAGTGGACGCTGTTTAGATTTATGTGTTTGAAGGCTAGTACTGCTGTGGAGGATGAGAAAGCTTCTGCTCTGTCTTCTCCTCCTCTCTGACAGAACTAAGATTTGCTGATCTCCTGGGTAATTGGCTACACTGAACAATTCAGTGAAGGCTAATAAAAAAGTAAAAAACATTGATGAAATCTGTGGTTTCCTCTCCCATCTGCCTCCTCCCCTCTGAATCTAAACAAGATGAAAACGTTCTGCCTGGCTACAATTCACGTTTGAAATTGTTTCTCGAGAATGAAAATGAAATGGAGATTTCAAGTAGCAAGACTTTTTTTTTTATTATTTTATTTTAATGACTTGATTTTACAGATCTGAAGCCTGCCTTTGGGAGGAATTTGAAGGCAGACAGTATTAAGACTCTAGCTAGCTTTCATAGCCAAAAGCCAACTGGGGCAGCGAGAAGGGGAGGCGAAGCCCTTGCAGTGGAAGGCTGCAGTCTGGCACACAGTGTATGTCATTGTTCCTGATGACACTGTGTTAGCTCAGTTTCCTCTATAATATATATAATTAATTACAGATCATTCACTGCCTATTCATGATGAGCTGCTAAGTGAATTGAAAGAACAGAGAAATGCCTGTGAAGTTTCAAAGTAGCGAGCAAAGGCCAAATCAGCATTGCACCTTTGTTCTAGGGCAGGCAAAAAGCTTAAGGTTACAAACCAACAGCACAAACAAATGGAGAACTCTCTCAAGAGGAGTGGGAGCATTACAGCAGGGTGGGAAGGAGGCTCCTGGGTAAAAGGAAGCAGAGTTAGTAGCTGGGAGAGTGTTTGGGAGGTGTGAGGCTTAGAAGGAGCAATGGCAGCTAGAGGGTGTGGAAGAGGAATACAATAGTGAGTAGAAAGAATTAGAGAGGACATCATGGGTAGATCATCCATTCCTATTGCCAAAGCAGAGATCTGAGCAGAGCCAGCACTTGGATATTGAGGACACACAGATGCTTCACTTGCGTAGAAAAGAAATTAAAGGAGAAGAATTGTGATGAGAAAGAAGAGATTCTTGTCCTAGATGTAAGCTTAGCTCTGCAAAACCTACCGTTAATGGGAAATGAAATGAATTTCCCTTGTAATTGGAAAGGGCATTTTTCTGATAGCCCAGTGCTGACTACACAACCCCAGATGAATGCAGTGACATCACAAATATCAATTTCTTTTATAAGCAATGGTTATTTTAGAGAGGAAAAAATATATATACCAGTGATGGATGAAGGGGATATAGTGTGTAATAAACTGCAGTAAGTGTGCCTGTATAAAGTGAACCTTATCAGTTTGGATGGAATTTAAGCACTTAGGCTGTTACCCTTTCTTTTAAGACAATGCGGTGATGGAAAACAGAACACTGTCAGCTCAGACAAACTTTTAATTTCACTTAACTGCATCTGAAGGGTAAATTTCAGTAAATGAATCCAAATTGCTTCCTTTTCACAACATGCAGTGCTGAAATACAGTACTTAGCTTCATTAAAGAAAAGGCTGCTTTTCTTTAGAGGAGACCTAGACACTTTTGAAGTCTAACAGGTAAATTGTGGTCAGATGATTTCCCCTCACATGGTAGCTTTGAGATTGAAATTTCCATCACTGGGGCCTTGTTTGTTTAAATTACCCTCTCTGCCTCTCTGGCAAGGATACTGCTGGAGGCTGCATGCCTACTGCAGGGGATTGCTGCCTCCTCCAGCCTCCATGCAGCCAGCAGAATAGTTGTCCCCACTGCACATGCCCTGTGTTCAGCCTAACCTTGTCCAAAGGCCAAAGATTAGGAAGCAGCTTTGGGGCTTTCTAACTCGTTACAGTGTACCTGCCTCCCATGGGGACCCTACCAGCAGCCAGGAACAGTGGAAGCATAGGCGTGTTGAAGTCACACCTCCCCTCCCCTTGTCACACCTCATTGCTGGTTGGGGCCAGCGTTGTGTGGCCCGTTGGCTTTCCTCCAACATTTCTGCCTGCCATTTCCTTTGCTGTTCTCCTGGCAGGATTTCCTACTCAGGAAACTTTCATGATCGCA